AATTTCACACCATTTAAGTTTTGAGGTGACTTAAAGCCATTCATGGGTTTTATGTGTCACAARCAGCAGTGACAGAATTGGCTTTTTTCTCTGTTGCCAGGGCAAAAGGAGATAGGTGTGCTATGCTGAAGCTTTTCCTTTTTGGTTACCAACTTATTTTAATAAGCACTTCGGTGGGCCTGGCTTTGAAAAGAGCAGGAGCTTGCTCTTCTGCCAAACTTTATCAAATTTAACATGTATTTTGACATACTGCAAGTTGGCTGTGAGCATGCAGAGCTGAGTGGCTGGGTGCTAAGCAGGTCTTTGCCTGGGCAGCCCTGTTGATTACAGGAACAYGGGACTGAAGGGCATTTTCCAGCAACCAAAGGGCAAATCCTGTCACAGACTGAGCTGCCACAATTCTCTCAGCAATGGACATGGAATATCTGCTCAGTGCTTTGTTGAACATACACTTTTGTTTTAATCTCATTCTAACTGTGCAGTGGTTGTACTATCATTTTAATTTCATCCTTCCATTTTTCATTTTAATATGTTTAGCTTTAATGCCTTGTTTTAGTTTCCTTTCCAGAGGCTGACTAGCACAATTTTTGTATTGAATTTCCTTGCTTCATCAGTAGGCTCTGACAGCTTTTTTGGATGCTAAGTATTCCAAACTGACAGGCTGTCCATGTCATTTTAGTGACCTGACAGTCATCTTGGAGCCTCCTTGTTGCTTCTGTTCTTGCTCTTAATGTCTTTTTGGAGATGTTTGCTCATTCAGTTAATTCTTCAGCCTTTTTCAAAGGATTTTCTGCTGTGTTGTGGATACAAATCTTGCAATTTTAATTTAAAAGAAAGATGAGATCTGAAGGGTTAATATCTGTGTGAGTCTGAGGAGGTGTTTAACAAAAAAACAATAATTCGTACCATTCCTTTCTTGAAGTGATTCTACACAGGTATTCTGAAAGGTACTGTATCCTAAAATTTATACAAACTGATTTTCCAAAGTTACTCAAAGAAAACTCCTTTAGACATGTCAGCAGTAATTCAAAAGCAAGCAGCATCCTCAGGTATCGAGTGTTGTGGCAGATTAGGTCCAGATATCATAAGTCTGAATTTAGATCAGGTTTTTAAAGCTCCCATTACAAAGAATACATTTTTATTTATTGTATTATTATTACATATTTATGCCTTGCATATGGACAATGTTATTTTCCAATATCTACTGAATTTACTTGTAGGTTCAAACCACAACTCTTCTTGGTTTGTTTGTTTCACTATCTTCACTTTCACAGTGGTTCTCAGTTTTAAGGAACAACTTACAAGCTACAGTACTTACAGATAAGTAGATGCTACTGACAGATTTTTGGAGCTTTGTGCATTGTTAATGAATGACCCTCACTCATTTTCCATAAGGAGTATTTGCAGCAGGACATCCTGCATAACAAGTGACACAGGGCAACCTTAACAGAGCAGAGATTGAGCACCTTTTTTTCCCAGAGTTGTCTTTTTTAAGATGTCAGTCTCTGATGCACCTCTTATTTTGATTCAAAATAAGAGGGTAAGCATGCAAACATACTTTTCCATTCATGAATGTTCTTTTTTTTTCAACAATGCAATCCCTTTCATGTTTGACAACTAGCACCACCTTCTGGGGACTGGACATCCTTATTAACTGAGATAAGAAGTTGCATTGTGAGCAAGGAGTAGATTATTTTGGAAAACTTAATCCCTCAAGGGTTGTCTTTTTTTCCCTTTAACATGTGTAACTCTATTTATATTCTAAAATAATTTATATTTTCTCAGTTGCTAAGGTTATGTTTTCTATAAATTTTTTTCTATAAATTCTTTCTAAACAATTTTTATTGTTTTCCAAAAAGCCAAATGCATATATAAATAAGGATCTGTGTTATTTGGGACATAAAGTACTCAGTAGGATTTATTTTTAATAAATTTTGTGTGAATGTCCTTTAATGAAAAAATGTTCTTGAGAATTTCAAATCTTCAAATTCCTTTTAAATGCAACTCTTACACATAAAAATTACTTATGTTAGTAAGTTAGTATTCTGAGCATGTAGTCTCTCTCCCAAAATGTGTTCTGAGAAAATTATCTTGAAGTTACCATAAGGTAAACCATAAGGGTGCAAAATAATTTGGAAAATTGTTATAGAAGGTGGTTATCAGTTGTTTACTGCCAACCTGGAAGGCTGCATGAAGGAGAATCCACTTACATTTGTTCTGGGTCCGGTATTATTCAGTATTTTCATTACTGACTTGCCTTATGAAATATGGATGATGCTTATAAAATTTGTAGATGCTTAAAGCTGGGAGAGGCTTTAAGCACKAAGGGAGCAGGATTAGAATGGATCCTGATGAAATGGAGCACTGAAATATTAGACTGCAGTTCAGTAAGGACAAACACAAAGTTATGTTCCTGAAGAAGCAGAAATCCACAGCGCAGGTGGAGCCMTTAAGTGGCAGCTCAGGAGAAACAGATCCAAGTGTTCTGCGTCATGTGGCCAGAATATGACCCCCTCTATTCACAAAATTAAAAAACAGGTTGGGTTGGAAGGGACCYTAAATCTCATTCCAAMCCCCCACTGTGGGTAGGGACACCTTCCACTATCCCAGGTTGCTCAGAGCCCTGGTCTTGAACACTTCCTGGGATGGGGCATCCACAACGTCCCTGAACAAACCTGTTCCTGTGCCTCACCACCCTCACAGGGAAGAATTTTATCCGAATATCCAGTGTAAACCTACTTTCCTTCAGTTTGAATCAATTCCCCCCATCCTGTCCCTATGTGCTCTTCTTTTATGAAAAAGGCTGTTACCCCTATCCACATAACCTGAAACTGTAATAGCAGGTACAAAAGTTGTGGTTAGTTCTAGAAACCCAGCTTTTCCTCTTACTCTGGTTGTGAGAGGATTTGCCACATCCTCAGCCCTGCTTTCCCACAGACAATGTCTGTTTGCTGTACCTTCAAGTCTACTTTAAAATGGCCAAGTATAATCTTTTTCATTATTTGCTCAAGTAAGTAACAAATGCAATTCTTACCATGTACAGCCCTGCTCGTTGGTTCAGGGTGCTTTACATCTTTTTGGGCTTATTTWGCTGCAGTTGCTCTCGTTGGCATATGTTTAGTGATTAAATTAATAAATGACTGTAATTTGACTTGAAAGGAGAGTTTAGATTGCCTGCTCTATCTCCTCTGACTTCACACCTTTTTGTCTACCTTATTTCTAAATTAGTCTGTGTTTTGCAGCAGCCTCTGGTTGTTCTTTTGCTTTTATTCCCTGGAATAAACACCCCTGTTAGACCTTGCTATTTTCTCCTCATGAAGAGGGCAAGTCAAGTTGCTGCTCAGCCTTTTCCATCGTCTTAAGAGATTAAACTCTAAATCTTGGTAACTCTGCTCTGCAAGCTCTCCATTTTTCCAGGAGTCTCTTTAAAACACGTACACCAGACCTTGGCATGCRGTGTGTCATCACTCTGCTAGTCAATGGCATGCATAAAATCTCCTCTTTTTGCTGGAGCTTGTACTTGGGGGTGGCTTATGATCCATTTTGTGAGGATGGCACTCCTTTCAGAAGCGCTGTTTTCCAGGAAACACTTTCTTAGTCTGCATTACTCAGGTTTAAATATGTATGACTGTGTTAAAACATGTGTTRTCTGACCACAAAGTCAACAAAGGAACTCAGGTTGCTCCCTGAACCTGCTCTGTCCTTTTCCCCTTTCCTGCTTCTTACTTTTTGTGGTTTCTCCCAGCTCTCAAAGTTCTCCCCAGTCTTAGGCTACATTTTATTAAGTCCTGTGTTTATCTGGAGCTCAGCCAAACTGACTGAGCAGCTGTGTCTCCCTGCCCAAAGAACTGCCTCAGCACTAACAAGAATTCACTGGCCTGACTCAGAATGTTACCTGAAATAACACACTGCTGTCTTCCACCTAATTACAACAGGTTTTATTTATCATTGATTCTTAATTACACTAATCTTCAGGAAATACGAGCCAATGATGGACTGTGTTAAGTCAGCTGCATTCCCAGCTTTTATATAGATTGTTCTAAACGGTTTTAAAGTATACAGTGAAACTAAGATGTAGATTCTGAAGGAAGGGGATTTGTTTTTATTATTTGCTCAGCTTATGGGGTAGGCAAAGCCATATGCAACTACAGTGCAGGTCAGATTTTATTAAATCCTGTAAAATTTAGGAACAGCTGGGATAATTGGGCAAGTTTGTATAAACTGTTCTGATTTTCCTCCATTCTCTGTTTCATTTGTAATGTATCAAGGAGTCCCATTTTTCAAGCATTTCCCTAATTTGTTTTTTCTGATAATCCTAGCATATATTTTAACAGGGCAAAACATATGTCAAAATAGTTCTAATTCTCTCTGATAGAAGTAGCTAAAAATTCAATGAGTTCAGTATCTCTAAATGTTTAAAGAAAACAATATAGAGAGTAGCTGAAAAGAAAAATTTATATGATCTGAAGCTTATTGTATTTCCAGCCTGTACCTTAAGTAGGTAATATCCTTCCAGATACCTGTTTGTTGTTGTGTTTTGCCCTCCAGCATCCACCTTTTTTTCTGAAATATGGGGTTATTCTCCCTGCTTTTGGGTTTTTGATGCTACTTCATTTCTTATGTAGCCAGTTGTAAGTCCTGGAAAGAACAGGAGATCTTCATCTTCACTGTATTTATCTTATGCTAAATGAGGTTTTATGTGTTTCTATTTGTAACACTTAAATGCAAGTTTTACACAGATGTTTGGACTGTTAAAAAGGCCATTGTTTTGGGGCATAGTCAGGTTCAGGCCAGGGGTTTAACCTCAGTCTCAGTGGGAAGCTGGAGTCCTTAAATACATTCTCTGGTGGCATTTCTGGTTCCACGAGGGTTTGGGGAGAGCTGCAGGGTTGTTTGAAAGGGTAGGGTGATCCACACATCCAGCAGCTGTCCTGCCTTGCAGAAAAGGGTTTTTCACTGCAATTTTTCCACAGTGGAACAGATGACCTGTCTTGTTGTAGGTGACTGGTATGAGCAGCTCTACCCGCTGGTGATCACGCTCAAGGACTGCATGGGAGAGGTGGTGACCAGGGCCAAGCAATCCATGGCCTTTGTCCTGCTCCAGGAACTTGCCTGTGGCTTGCCCCAGTGTTTGATGCTGACCCTAAGGAGAGACATCGTCTTTAGCCAAGCAGTAGGTTGTCTTGTGTCCCTTCCTTCCTTCTCTTGCTGTAATTATAAGCATACTGTTCATGCCTGTGTTTGTGGTTTTCTTTTTTGTTGGTTTTATTTTTTAATTTTCCAATTTTATAACTTTTAACATCTTTTCCATGATATTCACCTAAATATTTTATGATGCAGTAGGGAAATAAGTATTAAATAGAAATCCATAGTACTTGTAACACTGAGTTAGAGAAACAGGTCTGCTGTGGTCTGGAAAAGTTGCCTTATCTGGCTTTTGTACAAAGAATGGTCCATACAGCTAATTTTAGACTTCCTAAGTTATATATTTTTCAAGTGTGAAGTTTTCAAGCATGAATATGTCTTGTTTGGTACTCAAAATCACAGAATCCCAGAACAAGTAGGGTTGGAAGGGATCCCTGGAGATCCCCCAGTCMMATCCCCCTCCCTGGGCAGGGTCACCCACAGCAGGTTACACAGGAACACATCCAGGTGGGGTTGGAATRTCTCCAGAGAGGGACACCCCATAATCTCCCCTGGCAGCCTGGTCCAGTGCTCTGCCACCCTCARTGTAAAGAAGTTTTCCCTCGTGTTGAGGTGGAGTATCTTGTGTTTGAGTTTATGGCCTTTGCTCCTCMTCCTGTCACTGGGGACCACTGAAAAGAKTCTGGCTCATCCTTTTGGCACCAGTTTTGAGATATTTAAATGCATTAATGAGATCTYCTCTCAGTCTTCTCCAGACTGAACATGCCCAGCTCCCGCAGCCCCTCCTCATAGGTGATCCAGACCCCTCATCATCTTTGTGTCCCTCCTCTGGACCCTSTCCAGTAGCTCCTTGTCTTTTGTGTCCTAATGAGCCCAAAACTGAGCACAGCACTGCAGATGTGSCCTCACCAGGCACTGGCTAGGCAACATTCAAATTAGGGATTTTTTTCTCCTGGTCACCTAGGAAATAGAGAGCAGAGTGTTTTCAGTTTGCAGCGGTATTTTAAGTGTTCAAAGACTGTTATCATGTCTCTTCTCAGAACTGTCTTCCCTTGGTAAAGGAAGGTAAACTGAAGCTTTTTACATTTTCTCCTGTAGATCATGTTTTTTTCAGATACATTTTTTTCTAAATATTTCACTAAATTTCTCCCTAAAGTTATGTGTTGCAACTGCCAAGGAGGCTCAGTTGCATTAGATGTTGAACCCTTTCAAATCCATCATAATTCACAGTCCTAAGTGTTCAAAGCCTGGCTACAGGGGTTCTGGTCTGATTTATGTCAGTGTAAATAATGCACAATGCCACAAAACAAATTAAACTTATCTAACATAAATKAAGGGAATATTTCACTACTTTRTRCACAAAAAAGGCATAAAWAATATATTATTATGAAATCATGTATATAGTYACTAAACAGAAATATCTATGCTGTTTTCTCWATATCTAGATGTTACCTCTGTTGTGTATAAYGATAACAAGCCTCATCTKAACTATTTGTCTTGTAACAGTGCAYCCCTTAATTGCATGTRTTTTAATTATCTTTATAGCTCACTGGATTGGTCTGTGGGTTCATAATCAAATTGCACACAGGTTTACATGATCAAGGATTTTTACAACAGCTTCATACTGTTGGATTGCTCGTGCAATAYGAAGGACTCCTTAGTACATATAGTAAGTATTGCTCTGGGACAAAACAAAATTCCTTAGGTATCCAGCCCAGAAGTTTACCCAGGAAGTGCTTATTTTTATCTCTGCTCTSTTTYCAGTAATTTGACTTGTTGAATCAACAAATATTATCCCTAGGAGACACTAAACTTCCACATAACATCACAGCTGAAGTCATTAATACTGTGTTGTCAATTCTGAAGCAAAAATTATTCATCTATTTTATTCTGAGTTCCTCTGAGAACATGAGCYGATAATTGTTCCACCCAGACCTCACCCAAAATATCAGGTTTATAAAGCTAATCTAAAGAGCAGATTTAAACAGTTACTGCYTCTATCAGCCTTGGCCCTGATCCCCAGGGCTGTTGATTTGAAGATAGCCTGAAAACTGTTTAATTCCTTAAGTTTGTTAAAGATGCCCTTACTGGATAGATATTAATAAGGGAGGGAGAAGTTGCCTTATGTTTCAAACTTTGAACTAKATCTATTGGAATCTTTCCCTAATCACAGATTTTTGACCGAAGTAGAGGGACTTAGCATTTTTACTGCTGTTTAATGGAGTCACTCACTTGGAAATTTCTGTCTTGTCCCCTTTTGCATGATGCTCATTGTTACTGTTCTCAAAACCTTTGTCCTCCATCAGCAGGGCAGACTTTCAAAAACATTTTCAGAATAGACAAAAATGGCTTTTCTGAGGTTATTATTTGCCTATATAGAGCAGGCTGATTTTCAGAGTTGCTAAATTCTCATAATTTATGCCACAAAATTGTCAGCAGTGCTTGAAATCAGTCTGGTTTTATGAAGGTTACTTTAATGTGGATTTAGGACTGTGATTTTTTAGATGCACAGAGTGGAAAACATAATCCTCATCTTGCTTTACTATAACCTATACAGTGACTGATCTGCCAACTCTGTTAATAACCTCTTTAATCTTTTTGTGTAGGTGAAGAAGCAGGAATGCTGGAAGACATGGCCGTGGGCATTTCAGATCTGCAGAAAGTAATGTTTAAAGTCATCGAAGCCAAATCAGAAGATTTTTTGCCCATTATAACTGGGAGGCGGTAAGAACCTTCCTGGGYTCCAGGAGACAAAGCTGCGGTTTTAATCTGCAGAACACAAAACCCAGCTAATGGTTTTCTTGTTGCTGAATTCTGTTTTGTGGAAAGTGCAGTAGTTTTACTTTTCAGAAGGTCAGGTAGTAGGGATTTTAAAAGCTAGTAAGCTCTGTGTTACTCTTTTGATGGAAAGCTAGAGGTTCCAATTACTGATACAAATTAATCAGAACAATGTCTGGGTTGTGCAGAGCTGCCGGTGCATTATTCATACACAGACACTGAATCAAAGACAGGTGACAAGGTCATTATTTACAAATGTTGCCTCTGAGAAACTTTGGTTTCGAATGTCCAGAACTTGTATTTCAGTGTGACAAATGGAATTTCRATTCCAAGAGTTCGGCCTTGATTCTTTTTAAGATGGAAACCGAAAAAGTTGGATGCCAAAACTTCGTGGTCACTTTTGAAAAAGAAAGCCTTTCTTTGCTCCTGGACATCACAGAGGACATACACAACCTCAGAAATCCTTGCACAAARACACTCATACTTTATGAATCTCACATTAGTACTGTGGAATGTCAGGACATAAACTGAAATACTCCATTAATTTTGGCTATTTGTGGGTTAACAAGATTGGAATGGATTTTTCGTCTTCATTATTATTCTAGTCTGAAGCTCCAAATGTTTTTACTTTTGCAGAAATCACTTCCTTAATAGTATCATTACTCTTAAGATGACTGTAAATTAAATTCAGCTAAAAGCAGCAACTTTTAGAAAATATGTTTCCTCTGAAGGGGGCTTTCACCACTGATTTACTTAATTATTCTGGATGATTCACTCTCATCCTATGGGCTTTCTGAAAAAGGATTGAAATAAATAGCAGGAAAGCTGGAGTACAATAGGCAACACATTGGGAATAATTAAGAATAATTATGGTGTGTGGCTAAAACAGAAGGAATACATCCTTTGTAAACCACAGCAGTCAAAAATCTTGAAAAATCCAGTAGCTGAATTTACTGGCTTGCTGTTGTTGCTGTGGCCTGCTGAACTGTCACACCAGGAGGTCCTGGACTTGAAGGAGACCTGAGCTTTCAGCTGCCTCAGGCATCCTGGATTAATGGAGTAGTCAGTGTTTAGGAAGAAGAGCTACTGCCCCTAAATACTGTACTGTACTTTCTGGCAGGTATTCACTGGATGGGATTGGGATCAGAAAAAAGTAAAATCTATAAGGTTTATGTGGAGGAGTCCCATTCCTCTTGGAGCTGTGATGAGACTGCTCCTATCAGGCAGCATTGRAAGTCAACCATAAAAAGAAAAGACAGTGAAAAACCTAGTTATTTTCTAGTTAATGTTTAGGAAACCTTCAATTTTTAGATCAGTTTGGTTGTTATATGGTGTGGCTCATTAAAATGAGACTAAAAGACTGAAGAAATGCAAGACAGAAAATCAAGCTACAAATTGTTATCTTGAAGAGTCAATGTATTCGCTTGTCTTTGTTCTTTCTAGGGAAGTGCTTAAGAAGAGATTTTGTATGCACAAACAATTCAACCCAAAGTGTGTGGCACTGTCTAGCATTGCACTGTCCTGCTGGTGTGGGTGGCTGACCCTGGCCACCCAGGGGAAGTGAAGTTCTGTTCAGGAACTCACATTCAAAAAGATTAAATAACAAAATGAGAAGCAAAAATATGTACTTTTAGAAAATTCTTTATATCACAAAAYATTGAGTTGGAAGGGACCCACAAGGATTGTCAAGTTCGAGTCCTGGGCCTGCACAGGACATTCCAATCATCACACCATGTGTGGGAGAGCTTCTTCCAAACGCTTCTTGAGCTCTGTCGGGATTGGTGCACGGGGGAGATGTTCCAGTGTCCAACTGGGTCAAGGACATTTTCCTGACATCCAACCTAAATCTCCCCAGACACAGCTTCAGGCAGTTTTCCTCGAGTCCTGTCACTGTTCAGGAGAGTGCAGAGATCAGTGCCTGTCCCTCTTTTCCCCTGGTGAGGATGTTGAAGGCCACACTGAGGTCTCCCCTCAGTCTCCTCTTTTCCAGGCTGAACAGACCCAGTGCCCTCAGCCGCTCCTCACACGGCTTCCCCTCAAGGCCCTTCACCATCCTTGTGGCCCTCCTTTGGGCACTCTCTAATGGTTTAATGTCTTTTTTATGTCGTGGCACCCAAAGCTGCCCCCAGCACTGGAGGTGAGGCTGCCCCAGGTCAGAGCAGAGCAGGACAATCCCCCCGTGCCCGGCTGGCGATGCTGTGCCCGATGCCCCCCAGGACAGTTGCTTTCATTGTGCAATTGGTAGCAGACTTTTTAAAGTTACCAAGAATTATCTCTGAGATTTCACAAAGTGTTTTTTAA